GCAGAGAGCCAGCCCTTCCTGCTGCTCCCCTCTCACCTCTTCTCCCGCTCTGCTTTTGGCCCGGCCCAGGCTGCCGGGTTTTCCTCCCCACCACGTGACGGACTCCTCCCACCACAGCTGAGGCCGGAGCGAACGGCGGTACCTTTCCCCTCGCCTTTGGAAACCTCAGCGTGCAGGTATTCAGGGCAGCGCGCCCTGCTCCCAGCCACTGCAGCCTGGCCACTGCTCTGGAAAACAAGCCAAGGCGGAAGGCCAGCAAAGCTTTCCTTGTGGGCCAATAGTTCTGGTTCCAGGCTCCCGTTAGTGTGAGGAGATTATGTCTCTGGGGAAAAATAAAATAGTCATCCAGGGGTTGGTTAGTTAGCCTTCTAGAGGAATGGTAGGGGAGGCTGATAGGGTGCATCCACACTGCACCCTTAGCTCAAATAAGACATAATTTGAGTTAGCAAATTGCTTAGCTTATTTCTAGTGAACTTCAAAATAGCTTATTTTGTAATTTGGCACTGTCTACACAGCGCCTACATTTGAAATAAACTGCTATTCCAAAATGTCCCTTAATCCTCATGGAATTAAGTTTACAGGAACATCAGAATACTGAGACCATTATTTCAAAAGCTATTTCAAAATAACGGGTTTGGGATACCCGAAGTATCTTGAAATAGAGCTGCAGTGTAGCTGTCCCGGTACTGTCATTGTAAGTCACAATGAAATAATGTCTATATTATCTAGAAAGGACAGCAGACTGCATGTTTTGACCTTGCTGACAAAAGTTGGGGGCCCTTAAAGGTCTTTGGGTGGAGGCTGGGGGCAAGTGACTCTTTTACCTTCTCTGCCTTCTCTCCAGGCTGGATTCCAAATGAACTGTTTTAAGGAATCTTTCTAGGACTGCCCTTTCCCACCCACAAAACAGAGAGGTTGGAGCAAACACCAGATCTTCAAAGTAAATTGCCAGGATCAGGATTTCTAAAACGTTAATAAAACCTTCAGCCTATAATTAGGTAGAGTTTGTAAAGCACTTTGCAGGTGAAATGTGCAATGGACAGTAACTGCTGAATGCTGAGTGTTATTGAAATGCTAGCTAAGCCAGAGTTTCATGGGAATTTGCCATTTACTGTGATGGGAGCAGGCAAATCTCTAAAGGGGATTGAAGAACCCATCATAAAATCTGTTTTTTCATGTTAGGCTGTGTGTAACGATTTCTATGATTGCTTAGTGAACTGGGAATGTTGTGCTTTTCAATTTTGTTTTAAATGGCTAAAATGTTAATTTGTTAACATGGGAACATTCTCTTAGAATAGATTATTAATGTGTGAATTTCTAGAGTTGGTAAAAATGTCATATAGGGAGAATTTTAAATGGATTTGGATCATATTTTGATTGAAAAAGAAAGTATAGTTACCTGAATGTCAGTTAAATTATATATTGACTCTTATAGTATAACCCAACCACAATGATCCTACAATTCTTACATTTTTAGAAAATAATGAATTTTGTGCCTGGGTTAACAACCCTGGCAATTAACTTCTTCTATTTCATAGAAACCAAGATAACCACTGGCAGGTTGAGAGAGCTTTTCTGCAAATGTTTTCTAATCTGTTCTGAAAGGACCTCCCTGACAGATGGCTGTCTAGTTCAGTTTTTTCTCTGCTAAAACTGTAGGATGGTAGTTCTTATCATGCAAACTCCTGTCCTAATAGGAAGTGGGCTGAGACCAAATTTTTCAGTTTCCAACATCCCTGAAGATAAGGATCACTAATTATCCCCCCCCCAGGTTCAAAGATTCAAAGCAGAGGAGGCAGGCTGGTGTTGTAAGAAGGCATAAAACAAAAGAATGCTGGATTCAATATTATTTCCTGGGTCCAGTCACCTCACACAAATTTCTGTCATAACCTGCTGACTGATAGATGTCTATCCAACCTGTTCTTAAATATCTCCAGTGATGGATACTCCACAGCCTCCCTAGGCAATTTATTCCAGTGTTTAACTATCCTGACAGTTAGGAAGTTTTTCCCAATGTCCAACCTCAACCTCCCTTGCTGCAATTTAAGTCCATTGCTTCTTGTCCTATCCTCAGAGGCCAAAGAGAACAATTTCCCCCCCTCGTCCTTATAACATCCTTTTAGATAGAAAGGCAAGTTCTTTCAGTATTCCCTCATAGGTCATGTTTTCTAGACCTTCAGTCATATTTGTTGCTCTTCTCTGGACCTTCTCCAATTTCTCCACATCTTTTTTGAAATGTAATGCCGAGAACTGGACAAAATACTCCAGTTGAGGTCTAATCAGCGCAGAGTAGAACAGAAGACTCACTTCTCGGGTATGTCTAGACTACATCTCTCTGTTGGCAGAGGGATGCAGATTAGGCAGGTCGACATTGCAAATGAGGCAGAGATTTAAATATCCTGCGCCTAATTTGCATAAAAATGGCCACCAAGTTTTTGCCGACTCAGCACTTTGTCAGCAAAAAGCAACAGTCTAGAGGAGGATCTGTTGAGAAAGAAAACTTTTTTTGACAGATCCTGTAAACCTCCTTGCAGGAGGCATAAGGGATCTGTCGAAAAAGGCTGTCTTTCTCAACAGATTCCCCCTCTAGACTGCCACTTTTTGCCGATAAAGTGCTGAGTCAGCAAAAACATGGTGGCCATTTATATGCAAATTAGGTGCAGGATATTTAAATCTCTGCCTCATTTGCAATGTCAACCTGCCTAATCTGCATCCCTCTGCCGACAGAGGGATACAGTCTAGACATACCCCTCGTGTCTTGCTCTCAATGCTCCTGTTAATGCATCCCAGAATCATGTCTGCTTTTTTGCAACAGCGTCATACTGTTGACTTATATTTAGCTTGTGACCCCAATATCCCTTTCTGCAGTACTCCTTTCTAGACAGTCGCTTCCTATTCTGTATGTGTGATATGGATTGTTCCTTCCTAAGTGAATTATGAGCCCAAATTCCTGCACCCTCAGAGTTCTTTAATCACAATGAAAGATTTCCTGTCCCAGACCTTTGATCATGGTTCCTTGCGCTGAATGTTAATACCTCTTCTCCACTTTCTCCTACACCCAAATTCCCTCCCAGCGCTTGCACCTCTCACCCCTTCCAAGTGTTTTTCTTGTGATGGTATGCCCTGGCATGGTGTACCGGCACCTATTTTCCCCAGGTGCAGTTTGGGGTTGTTGCTGTTTTTTGTTGATGTTCATGAATGTTCATCAAACCCGCCCCACAGCCCCTGGTACATGGCTTTTCATACTCTATCCACCGCTATTTTGGCTCTTCATCTCTAATGGGTTGGCCACTCCTCATAGAATCATAGACCTGGAAGAAACCTCAGGAGATCATCAAGTCCAGTCCCCAGCCCAAGGCAGGACCAATCCCAACTAAATCAGGGCTTTGTCAAGTCAAGACTTAGACACCTCGACCCCACAGCCCCTGGTACATGGCTTTTCATACTCTATCCACCGCTATTTTGGCTCTTCATCTCTAATGGGTTGGCCACTCCTCATAGAATCATAGACCTGGAAGAAACCTCAGGAGATCATCAAGTCCAGTCCCCAGCCCAAGGCAGGACCAATCCCAACTAAATCAGGGCTTTGTCAAGTCAAGACTTAGACACCTCGAAGGATGGAGATTCCACCAACTCCCTAGGTAACCCATTCTAGTGCTTCACCACACTCCTAGTGAAATAATTTTTCCTAATATCCAACCTAGACCTTCCCCACTGTAACTTGAGAGCATTGCTCCTTGTTCTGCCATCCAACACTACTGAGAACAGCCTCTCTCCATCCTCTTTGGAACCTCCCTTCAGAAAGCTGAAGGCTGCTTTCAAATCATCCCTAACTACTCTCTTCTGCAGACTAAACAAACCCAAATCCCTCAGTCTCTCCACACAGGTCATGTGCTCCAGCCCCCTAATCATTTTGGTCACCCTCCGCTGGACCCTCTCCAATGCGTCCACATCCTTTCTTAGTGGGGGGCCCAGAACTGAACATAATACTCCAGGTGTGGCCTCACCAGAGCCGAATGAAGGGGAATAATGACATCTCTGGATCTGCTGGCAATGCTCCTCCTAATGCACCCTAATATGCCATTAGCCTTCTTCGCTACAAGGGCTCACTGTTGACTCATATCCAACTTCTCAGCCACTGTAATCCCCAGGTCCTTTTCTGCAGAACTCCTCCTTAGCCATTCAGTCCCCAGCCAGTAACAATGCTTGAGATTCTTCCGTCCCAAGTGAAGGACGCTGCACTTGTCCTTGTTGAACCTCATCAGATTTCTTGTGGCCCAATCCTCTAATCTGTCCAGGTCACTCTGGACCCTATCCCTGCCCTCCAGTGTATCTACCTCTCCCCCTAGCTTA